TTTCTACAGAATTTAAATCCAAATCATTCAAGGAAAACATGTTTATTTTCAGTCCAGAAGCACCATTCACCTTTCTTGGTGCTGATTGGCGGAACCCCTGGACTGGAAATAGGGAGTAAACTGTGTGCTAGCTTGCTAATTGTAGATCAAATCAAAGCATATTAATGTTCTAGAACGGCCCAGTCAAAGTCCAGGCCCTAATCTGATTAAGAATCTGCCTCACACTCGTCCAATCTGACTGAGCTTCAGCTGGCTTGGAAATATTTATTTCTGTCTCCAGTCCAGACCGGAAGTGCAACACACAGCGAGAGATTATAGGTGTAGCTGGAACAAAAGGAGAGTACAATACAAATGGACGCCACACTTTAGATTTCTATTTGGACATTTTTGTGTCCACTTCACAGTTAAGTTGTGTTGGTCCATCACATAAAAGTGTTTGTAGCGTGACAAAATGTCAAGGCGTATTGATGCTTTTGCTACGTGATGCATTTTATTCAATCCGAACAATCAGTCTGAAAACCAAATTAGAAAGTTGAAAAAGTGTTAAAGGCCTCGGATGATGGTTGGATATTTAATCAGATATGTTCAAACTGAAGTTGGTTGTAAATATGTTGGATATTTTTGCATAATTAGCATAAAATTAAATTTCAGATAAAAGCAGCAATTGTCATCTTTTCCTGATGGAGATCCCAGAAACCTCTTTAAGGTTCCTGCTCCACCTGTTGTTTCACTTTCACACTGAACACTGTGAACCTCTACTAAAGGTCTGTAAATGTTGACGCAGGGGTGTTATTTCAAATTAAACAGGGCAAACTAAATATTTGGACACATTTGTTTCACTACCTGCTGCATTATGTGAATATTTGCAGATCTTTGGATAACAATATGACTGGAAATGTTTCAACTGCAAAGGCGACAAAATTATACCACATAAATGTACTGCTGGTGTTTATGCAGATGGGATTATCAATGTCAAACACCAGACAGGTGAGGCATCCTCTTCTTCTTCTTTTGTAGAATTTGAGGTTTTAAAAATGTTGATAAATATACATATGTATTTTTATTTCAAAAATCAAAAAAAGATTTAGCAAGTAAACAATTTCTGGATTACTCCCGGCGCTTGTTTAGTCAATGTCATGCTGAAATGGTTTTAATTTTAAAATGTCTGTTCTGAAAAAAAGAAAAAAAAAAGGTATTTGATATGAGAAATCACTTGAGATAAGAAGACTGCTGAGCCAGTTTTAATTAGAATCCAGTTCACAGTTCTTAGTCAACAGAGAAAAAAAATAAGCTTTTTGCTTTACAAGCTGTTTGTGATTGTGGTTTATAAGATTAGAGCTGAATTCTTCCTCCCGGACTGAATGTACAAATGGAAGGAAAGCAGATGAAAATGGGAAAACTGCTCCACAGGGAAGGTGTTGGGAAGATTAGCAGCCTCAGCAGGTTGCTGGTGGAAAGACGCTCGGTGTCTTCCCACATTCATTGTGTTCGGCCCTCAGAGCTGCTTTCCTTTTGCCACCAGCACCGAATCTGGCCTGGAGCTGGAGCCAGTTCCCATCTGGTTGATAAGTTAAGGGTTTGGTTTTACTCTGTCCTCCCAGACGTCTTCATGTCTTGGCTCGTACAGTGGATGTTGTATTTCTGTTCTATATTTTCACAAATGACTGTATTTGTGCCATTGTACCCATAAACAGATCGCTTTACATCATTACTCTGATTTATAAATGAAGTTTGAAACAAGAGTCTGTGTTTCTGATGCTCTTTCCCAGAACTGATGGCATTTCTGATCTTTGGTCTTTGATCAGAGAAGGAATTACGGACATTATTTCAAGCAAAATTTATAAATACCCACTTGTGATATAACAATACCCAAAAGTGTTTGGAAATGTTGTAGAAAATGACGCGCAAGATCCAAATGGAGTCAATAGGCATCATTATCTTAGTGATGTCGCTATAGTTTTTGAACATTGGGTTATTGACTAACTAATGTTTATTTAAAATTTCTGGAACTTTAACTCCAACACATTTAAAAATGTGCATCCATCAAAGGGCTGTTATATGATAAGATCACGATGAATTATATTTTTGGTGCTCTGTCCTTTCCTTTTGCTCAACAACGTTCACATGCTCATCGGTAGTTTCCTTGTTGACTTGGGGTTTAGTGCCTTGCCCAAAGAAACAATGACATGAGGTGGGGAAAAAAGCATTAGGTTTCTGACTCATCCACTGAACAGCCATCCCTGTGGCAAATGCTAACAAAAACTGTTTGGTCGTTATATCTCCTGTCTTTATTTATTCCGTACAGTTGAGCTGAAGAACAAACAAATTCACAAGGTGCGGAAATCTAAAATATAGCAAAGGTGCAATTACCCGCTTGAAATTTGCGCTCACACCCTTCGGGTTTATTTTGTTGAAGCACCATTTAATTTCTATTCAATCTTGTTTTCTGGTTGCAGTTAGAATCTCACGTAATATCTTGATAGTACTTACCCACGCTACGTTTGAAAAGACGTCCACATCGGTCCAATCGTGAGGACATCTCCGCCTCTTTGGCCGTCTCCACAGATTTTCTATCAAATTCCCTTCTGGAGTCTTTTTATAAAGTTATATAACTTGGTCTGGATGTCTTCTTGGTTTGAGAAAGTGATACGCCTCATTATCATTTTGTTTCCAAAAGAAAATTGAAGTTCTATGGAGAAAAATTTTGAATTTCGAATTGTTCAGTTCATATTTTATTAACCTTTTAAAACACCATCGTTCTATTTGTTGCACAACATGTTGCACTGTTGATATGATTGTTTTGGTGATGAATACTGTTGGTTTTTGTTCAGGACTTAACGTTTGCAGAGGAACAAAAGTTTCTAGTTTGGTGTGATTTTAGTCAGGCTTGGTTTGTTTCCTTGCTAAGGAAAAACTTTTATTTGACACTCCAACTTCTTAGGAGAGACACATTTATAATACAGGAGACTGTCGTCACATATAGAACATCACCGGTTTCTATAAGAAGTGCCTGCAGCTCCTTCAGAGATGCTCTCTGCCTCTTTGCAGCCTCCTTGAATCGTTTCCATCTTGTCTTTTCATCAGTTTTGAAGAAACATCCACTCTTTGTATTGCACTGTAGCCTCTACTTGATGATGACTACAGAGAATGTTGTTGATTTTTAAATTAAAGAATGCAAATAAGTGTCAACAAGTTCCTACAAGGATGGCTAAAACTATTTAATCCTCATCAGATTCATTATAACTGCTGTAAACTCAGGAAGACTGAGCCCTGAAATTGAATCAAAGTTGCTTGAACAGATTTAGTTTCAAAGGTTTCTCTAAAGTACCAAAACCTTAAAAGAAAATGCTTTTGGAACTAGTGACTGAATCTCAACAGGTCTCTGTGTGTAGTCCTAGTTTTTTGCTCATTTTGAACATTTTTAAGCACATTTAGCTTCCCCTAAATTTTTGTTTCTAGATACATTCGAAACTGAAATTTTCCTTGGCTGCTTTACAAACTTTCAGCTCAACAAAGTTCAACATCTGTGTTGGAGTTTTGGTTATCGACTGCTAAGATTCCTTCAAGCAGTCGGGCGTCTATATTCATGTTCTTGTTATGAAGTGGGTGGACATTGTTTATGCTGCAGTTCTGTTTCCTCTCTTCATATTCTCTCTCTTTTTTCCCCAAGACTTTTATTTTAAGCAAAAAGAAAAGGATATAAACATGAATACATAATCTAAGGGCATCATAGAACATGTAAATTATTAATGTCTATATTAAATTGGATCTCAAGAGTATTTTAAAGCAGATATAGTTTGAATTGAAGTTAGCTCTTCGGCATTAGCGTCCACTGTGTTTGGGCATTAGTGAAACTAATGTTTATGATGAGTGCTTTATGGATAACACAATTAACTCCCTAGCTTGTCATGTCCACTATCGGTTCTTATTTCTCTCTACCAGGGTGTGATGGGCTGTTTTCTAGATTTTTCAGCCCACTTCATGTTGTCAGGCAGTAGTTGGGCCGGGGTGTGGCGAGGTGAAATCTATATCAAATATATAAATTAACAGATAATCTCAGTTTTTATCTTTTGTTTTGTTTTGTTTTTTCTTAAGCTATAAGCAGACCAAAACAAACAGTCCACTTGAAGGTCTCAACATGGCACTTGAAACATTTCGGTTGCCTGTTGGTCTCCTGGAGCCCGCCGCCCACAGCAGCTGATGAAAGTCGTTTTTAGCTCTGTCCCAGTAGGAAGTTTCGTATTAGTTTGATTTTCTCAGTGCCAGTGCCGGGCTTTAGGAGTGGAAACAGAAAACTACTGGTTTGACAGAAAACAAACAAAAAAGTAAGAGCGATAGGTTGTCATGGCGGAGGCAACGACGAGCATCCTCTGGGACCAACGGCGACGGTGGGGTATTCCAGGAGATTGTGTCGACACATGTGGCTGTGTTTGTGTGGGTGGGACCACCGTATGAGAGTGTGTGTGACAGCGAGTAATCCACTCTCATGCATCATAGATCAAAGGGCAAAGGCAGCCGCCTGGTCATTTTACCCTCGGCCACCCTGATGGCACGGCATGCTTCCAAAGGCACCCCATAAAACACACACCAGCACATAGACCTACAACCGGATGGAGCGCATTTGGGAATGGACGCCAACAGTTGCCAGGGAAATGTCCCACAAAGCTGAAGGGGGAACCGGGGGAAGAAAAGGGGAGTCGAGACGGCGCTCTGACAATATGTCGCCAGGCAACGCTCAACACTAACGAAGCTGGGTTTGATAACTTGTTGATAACACTGGTGGGAGAGTTTGAAAGTGTGTGTGTGTGTGTGTGTCTGACATGGACTTGTTATTAGCAGAGGCAGTGAAAGAGCCCCTGCTGAGACCAACCCAAAGGAGAGATAAGGGCAGAGACCTGCTATTAGAGGCAGGGTTAGTGGGCCTCAGCAACCTTCTCTCTGCATCTACAGGCAGAACAAAAGAGCCGGCTTCATAATGAATCACACAGAAGAACCCAAAGTGTGGTGCTTAAACATTTTTGTTTGTTTTTTTATTCAATCTTTTTTTTTTCTTTTTTTTTTCCAAACCAGGAATGTACTAATTTTTCCTCTCTTTAGAGGTGTGTTGGAAGGGGAAAGGGCGGGTGAGGAGCAAAGAAAGGGAGATGGGGAAGGGGAGGAAGGAAGAGAGGAGAGGACAAACAGAGGAAGAAAAAAAAACAACTCTTTTCACACAGAGGTGTCCCCAAAATACAAAGTCGCAACACGTCACATAGGAGCGCCGCGTCGACCGGCGGCCTCCGCTGGCCGGCTATTGGCACAAAGAAGCTCACGCACGTTTTATGCACATACACACAGTTTTTACCAACGGGGAGATGAGGCAGCGGTTTTCTTTTTGTCTCTCTCTCTCTGTCTCCTCTGTACCACAGAAACAGCACTTTCTTTCTCTTTTTCAAAATAAAAAAAAAAAATCGTGGGCTGGGTCCGAGGTTTTTCTTCTTTTTTGTTTTCTTCTTTTCTTAGAAAACTTGAGAAACAGTGAGAGCTAGAGACACAACTTTGAGATATAACATCTTCATGAAGATAAAGGAGAAGAACTGAGTCCAAAAGGTACAGCTCTGCTCAAAAGTTTACATGAAGTCGTCATCGGGGTTCAATTTAAGCAAACTGCTCACTCCCAATGATGCAGTCGAAACCGTCCTTTTTTTTAACTTGGAATGATTATTCAATGAATGTCTTTTTAAACAAGGAACGGGTGCCGAAACTTGGATTTGTTGTGGTTGTTCAGGCTCTAATATATACATTCAAATCCACTAATATTTGGTGAAATTTCCCTTAGCAAATTGTACCTCAATCACAGCCTTTTGTAAGAGCCAGAAAGCTTTGCTGGATGTTTGACAAGTCTTTTTATAGAGTTAATTTAAAAGGTGTGTCCTCCAGCCACACAGTGCCATTTTACAGCATAATCAAGTGACTTTTTTATCTTCAGTTTTCATAATGTCAATGTTAAAGAAATTTGGCTTCATAATAACATCTGAAAATTGCCTTGTTAAAACCAACACCTCTAAGTTCAACTTAAATTTACAGCTGCTCATGAGGGACACACCAAAGTCTCTATTGAGAAATATTATTTGTCACAATGGACAAAGATTGACAAATGAATGACATGAAGGTGAAGATTCCAAACCAGTGTGTGTAAATAACCTTTGTGTCAATTGTTTGAAGTTGCATGTCATATCATCATCCCAGCCCAAAGAGGAATGGTTCAGACCGAAATCACTGATCGTCTCATGAAAGCCGATGAAAGATGGATGTAAACTTTTGATTAGACTGCAGCTGACATTCTGCTGAGAGGAAAAAAGCAGGAAAATAGACCAGAAAGTATTTTTTTGTTGTTTCATTTGAGTTCAGAAATTTTAACCATTCCCCCTTTCTTAGTCAAATTTTGTAATTCCAGAGAATAACAGACACTTCATTTGGCTTGGAGGATTCCTTTGAAGTACTTAAACATCATTCATTAAAAAAAGGAAAGAAATTATTGATCATTATACAAAAAAAGGAGAATTTGAGGTGCTTTTCCCCCCTCTCTCTGTCTTTTTGTTTTTCCAAAATCAATTTTAATACAGTCAAAATACAATCCAAACTCCTCCGTGGTATTAAAGAAGAAGAAAATAAAAAAGAAACATCGTCATGTGTGGAACAAAGTCATTTTAGACGAATGCGACACTTAGGTATGAAGGATTATATGATACTGATACAAAAACACGGCTGAGAAATGTGGAAAGGTTCAGATTTTTAACACTGGCTTCACACAGGAAACATGGCAATAACACTGGAGTCTTCATGTGTCTGCACAAAGTTGAAAAGAAAAAGAAAAAAGCATAAGCTCTCCGCGGTTTTACACATAAGCCAAAAAACATGTCTGAGCAACACAAAAACAGCTTTATTAGTATGCACAAGGTGAACATAAAGCACCTCCCCACACAGCGACGGGCTGCTGCTCTCTGAGGTCGAGGTGCAGGGCACTGGTGTGTGTTTATGTATGTATGTGTGTGTGAAGGAGGGAGGAAAACACAGCACAATCAATCTTTTTTTCTTTTTTAAATCCCTTCCCCGTCCGTCAGGTGATTCACAGGAACACAGATCAGACGAAAGCAACGTTTTCTTATGTTGAGTGTGGGTGAGCGTGTTTGCAGAATGTTGCTCGGCAGTCGTTAAAAAACAGTGTGAGATCTGAGAGCGTGTGTGTGTGTGTGCGTGTTTCAACACAAAATTTTGGCGGGAGAAAGAGAGGAACGCATCCGAAACGTGCCGGAGTCACAGTGGATGTGTGTGTGTGGATGTTTTGCGTGCGTGTAGAGTTCAACTCCTCCGAAAGTCCGTTTTTTTGCAGGATTTTTCTCTCTTTTTTTTTTTTTGGCTGACAGTCCAGCACCTCAGAGGGTTCTCCTCTTCGCCAGCCACTCTTTCATGTGCTCTCCGTCCATCCATCCTTCCTTCCTTCTACTGGATCCTTCATCTACTACTCCTGCTGCTCCTATTTTTTTCCTGTTTGCTTCACAGTCTCGTCTTTCCTCATCTCCCTCCCGCTCGTTTTTTTTCTTTTCCTTAAAGTTCTGCATTCAAACGCCGCTTTATTCCTCCTCCCAAGACAGCGCTCTCTCTCTTCTTTGTTCTTCTTTTTTCAAGTCGTCCTCTCTCTCTCTTTACCTTTCCCCTTCCCCGTCCTCCATCACCACCACCCCGCCCCTACCCCAGCTTCTTTTACGTCTGCCTTTTAAAACGAAAGAAAAAAAATAACAGAAAAACTTTCATTGATGGTTCTACCTCAACACTTCCACAAAAATGAGGTCTAGACCTCAAAACTACAGCATAGTACGATGAGCTATAAAAATATACACAGAGTTGACCTCGGGCGGGAGGAGGAGGGAGAGAATGAAAACAGAGAAACAACTTCCAAAAAACCAGGGATTTTAGTTAATGTACAGCGTCCAGCAAACGTTTCCATACCGTCTGAACTTTTTCACGTTTTGTCACAACACAACCCCAAACGTCAACACATTGATAGACCGATACAACACACTGCATGACTGCAAACCTTCAAAGTCAAGCTGCTTTAACTCTTCTACAGAATCGACAACTATTATCCACACAATCCTCAATTTGCTTACCAGCGATACAATACTGATCGATAACATAATTATTTTGGCCATTAAGCCAATAAGGCAATAACTTGCCAGTTTTTGAGCCATCAATTTAATATTTTGCCAATAAAGTTATTACAGCCAAACACTGCTGCCTGCGAATAGCTAACATTTCTGAAACCTCCTTCTGAAGAAGCTTATAAATGGCTATTTTAATAAGTTTATGTGTGTGAGCTTCATTGTGCACCAAATATACAGTAATGTGTGAATACTGAGCCACAAACAGACAATTGTCCCTGCTATACGGTTTATTCACATAGATTTAAGAATTGCAAACTGTAATACTTGCAGCTGGTGCATGCAATGATACGTTTTTTTGAAGTTGTCTGGTTTTGCAGGTTTTGTGCAGCTTGATAGTCAGAAATAGAAATAGGCAATGGGGCAGTAATATTTATTGTTTGCCAGATATGTGAATACAACTGAATTAAATTGGTGCTTTTGGTAGATGGATCACATAATGGAACGTTCTTAAATTTAGAAAGGACATTGGTTTTGTGACTAACATTAGTGGGAAATGGTTTATATTAATGGCTGCAAAACTTTACTGCACTATTGATCCTTATTAAATTACTGGTTTCTATGTCTGGCTTTTATGGAGAAGTGAAAACATTTGCACGCTGGGATGGGGATGCATCTTGTGGGAAGATGGATGATGATGAATACAGAGCAATGCTGGAGGAAAATATGTTTGTGGCTTAAAATGGGTTGTTCTGCATTTTATTAAATATGAGTAATTGAGGGTGAATTCAGACAAATGCCAGAATCTTCATATTGCTTCCTTTATCTTCCTCTTCTCAATTACGTAGCCCTTTGCGTTTGTCTATCTTCATATAAACCTAACAAATACATTGAAGTCTTTGGATGCAACGTGACAAAACGTGAAAACTTTTGGGAGGTGTGAATACTTTTGCAAGGCACTGCAAAATATAAAGGCAAAAGGGCAGGAAATAGGCAAAAAATAAAAAGTAAATAAAAACATTTAGAAACAGAAGTGTAGTTTAACAGAGTGGGTAAAAATAATAAACCAATAAAAAACATCTAGAAATTATTTACTGGATATTCATATATATAATCTATAAGTGTTGATAGCCATAAAAAATCTCACTTTTTTGATATTCGCTCACTATTTTGTGTTTTGGTATTTAAGACAAGTCTAAAGAACACACACACTCACACGCACACACAGAAAAGCACACACACACATTCACATGTATGCAAACTTGCTGAAGCACACTAACTGCACTCTAATGTGGAGCGGCAGCAGCATCGCCATAATTATCACCCAACTGTTTTGCACGCTCGCGCACAGTCACACAAACACACGCTTTATTAAAATATACACGATTCTGAGAGTCACCGATTGGTCAGACCTCGTCCGGGGATCCGGTGTCGGCTCAGGGTGTGAGTCCGAGAACCCCCCCCAAGCCTGTTTTCTCCATTGAAACAAACACGAACAAACTAGGAGGCTATTGTTGAGTTAGCGGCAAGGGGCTCGTCTCTGATTGGATGATAGAGATCTAAAAGGGGGGTGGGGTGCTGGGCAAGGCGGGTGTGGCTCTCTGAGAATCAGAGTTCATTGGTGCCAAGTGGGTCCAGGAGCGTAGTCCTCTTTTCAAAGTCCTTTCAGGCTTTTTTTTTTCTTTTAAAATATCCCAACACCATGTTCACACTCTTAAAAAAAAGTGTGTGGCACGTTAAAGGGTGGGGGGCTCTGCGATAACAAGAAGAGGGAATTCAGAGCCTCTTGCCCAATCATGAGGGCCTTGTTAGGAAGGGTTATGTGCGGTTACAACATAACCCCTCACTCACACTTAATGGCCTAGTTGTGTGAAATAGGGTTATGGAAGGAAGGGGGGGTTATTCAGCTAGAAACACAACAGTGGCCAGGGCAAGTAGGGTGGGGGTTTCCGAAGGACAATACTGGTACTACTGAGGCGATCCAGTTTGGAGCTATGATGGCAGATTCTGTAGTGGCTTCATTTAAGAGATGTTGGGTGTGATTGGCTGGTTGTGGTTGAAGGAAGGCGATCGTGTCCAGATGGCTGCCTCATACTTTGTAGTAAATGTTGGCCGGGCTCTGAGGCGGCATCTCCTGGACGATGTAGACGGGGTGCCCGTAGTCCCCGCTCACCTTCTCGTAGTGCGGGCAGTAGGCCGAGTCCGACGTCCGCAGGGGGATGATGATGTCGCTGGGCTCTGAGCCGTTGTTGTTGGAGCTGGTGATGCCGCCGCCACCGCCGCGCTTGGGGCTGGTGAGGGACGACAGCGACAGAGGAGGGTGGTGCGTGTCGGAGTGCTTGGCGTGCCTGCGGCGGTAGCACACGACGCAGATCACGGCAGTGACCAGCAGGAGGAAGGCGGAGCCTCCTGCGACACCAGCGATGAAGGCGATGTTGGTTGACTCGAGGGGTCCGTTTTCACCGTTGCCTTCATCAACATAGGGCCTTCGAGCTCGGGTGGTGTTTCCACCTGGAAAAAGTAAGAGAAGGTCATTCGGCGATATCAGTAAAAGGTCACTTCAATCATGGAAAGCTGCTACATCTTTTGGTAATATATGAATAGTAGTGCCTACTATATCAATTGGAGAGAGGAACCCTGGATAGTTTGCCAGTTTGCCTGCAAGTCACTAGGTAAGAGGCGGGGTACACCCAGAGCACACACACAATGACATCTAAATGTAGTTTTTAAGAGGCCAATTAACCCAACATGTATGTGTTGGGACTGTTGGAGGAAGCCAAAGCACCCAGAGAGAACCCACACATGCACAGAAGTGAAAATGAAAACTCCACGCAGAAAGGCCTGTGATTCAAACTCAAGCTTTCTTGCTGGCAACAAAGCAACAATGCTAACAACTGCAGCGCCATGCAAGCCACATTTCTGAATTCATGATATAATGGCAAAAATTCTTGAAGAGAAATGTAAAATTGATACAGACAGATCAAAGCTTGAAACCAAAATTGGTCACAGATCACGTATGGATGAACCTCAAGTTCTAGTTTTTGTTGCACCGTCCAAAGACTCAGTAAACAAACTATCTGCCCAGCCCTTTGAAAACTTTCTGAAGGCACCACTGAAACCCAAAGAAGCTTCTCAGTGCTTCTACATTAAACCCACCAAAACAATAACACTGCATGCTTTCACAACTCCTGCTTTCATGATGCTTCGGAGAAAACATACAGTTCTTTATGGCCCTGCACCACAATACCATGAGTAATGGTGATGGTTTAGCTTAATAAGCGGAGACTGTGTCGGCTCCAACCCAGCGGAATGCAGCAAGTATGCAGCAGATCTCACAGAAGCTTATTTGTGGTCTCTTTATTGATGTGATGAAGTGGACAGCAGCGCATATAAAACAGCGAGGAATGTCCGCAGTGAGCGAGAGGCGCTCCACACAGTATATGCTTTTGTGGAGAGCCAGGCTCAGCCGCAGTGTATATCAAGGTAAGAAACTGTATTTCCCCAACCCTGAAGATGGTATTTGCTTAGTATTACAGGCGGCCACATGAAGAAAGCCTCCTGGGTCTGCTCCCACCAACGGGCCACACACTGGCCCGCTCGCCTTTCTTCCTGAACATCTTTCTCTTTATCTGTTCTCACTCTGTCTTTCTGTTTTGTGAGTCTTCGTTTGCCTGAAAGTTGAGATTTTTACAGCCTGGAGTTGGCGGCTGTCCCCGCAGGAGGTCGGGTCAGAACTCAGCAGGTGAATGATGTTCTTAGGGTGGGTTTGTGCTGTTTCTCTATGTGTGTGTGTGTGTGTGTGGGTGTGTGTGTGTGTGCGTACACAGCCAGGGAGCGTGTGAGCAGGAGTTTCGAACTGGTTAAGGTTGCGATAGAGTCGCTTGGATTGGCCCATCATTATTCTTGGCACACATCCCTTTCTGCCTCTCTCCTGCTTCTCCCTGTTTCCTCCCCTCCTCCCTCCTCGCTCCGTGGTCCTCGCTGTCTTTGGGTTATTGTAGCCGTAATGACCTACCTTGCTCTGAGCTCAGTGCCTGGCAACAAAGACACACTGGTACACTCACACACCGACACGCACAAACACACGCAGTCATATGTGCGGATACACGCCGGCTCGGCTCGCCTCACAGACCCCCTCCCCTCCGCTCTCGGCGCCCCGTCGCGCTGGACCGACCGGGAGCAAAACCCTAATGCCGGACGTCGATTATGCTCCCTACTCCCGCTCTCTTCTTCCCTCCATTAACCCAACATCCCTCACTATCCGTCTCCATTATGGCCGCCGCTTTTCACCAAGTCTCTTTATTATATCCTCTTCTCTCTTACCATTCTTCCCTTGCTCCCCCCCTCCATTTCCCAACTCCCCTTCCTGTTTTTATCACCAGAGTTTAGACTCTGAGGCTTTATTCTCCATTTGCTTCCATTAACCATTTTATATCAATAATGAATTCACCTTAGAGACAAACACGCAACAAGCAAGAAATAAAAAAATAAGTAGCACCACCAGCTGTCCGTATTCTTCCCCCTTCACATTTACAATCACGGCAAACTATTGGGAATGTTTCAAGAGTTTCTGAAGGTTTTTTCAGAGTATTTACTTTTTAAGACTTTTATTAATTCAATTGAAAACCTAAGCTCAATAAAGTGCCAAGGAGAGTAAGCTCCTCTAAGCCCATGTTATAATTTTCAATGCTCCCTCCAGCAGAGGAGTTGAAGTATCTTTGATGCAGGATAGAGCCGGAGACGGATGGATGGGCTGAGGCCTGGTTTTCAGGAATATGGCCACTGCGTTGGCTCAGAAAGATCTGAGCTATAAAATAAATCTCTCCTTTTATCGTTTTATCCACAACAAGAGTGTCCAACTCCTGTGGTGGAGAGCTACTGTCCTGCATCCCTTCTCTACCACACCAAAATCAATTGATTCCCTCGATACCAGGCCTCTGCAGAGCTAAAAGACACAGACTCATTGTGACTCAAAGAAATTGTAGGATAGTAGCTTTTCAGAAATCTGACCTACAATTTGACCTTTAATGAGATGTGGACCATGACAGAGACCGATGCTCAGAAGTGTTTCTAACTCTGTCATTTCACATAATAATCTCTATAGCTAGACAACTTTGCTTCAACGCTTTAAAAACGCATCCCGATGCCACATTTTAGCCAGCTATTAAAATGATAGGCTATAAGATACCAGGAACGCTTACATTTGAACTGCTTAAGCCGGTAGATTGTGATGCTTAATGCGTTAGATGTTTCTGATTCAAATTACCTCTCAAGCATGTCATTAAACACTGCAGCTACACCGAAACACCTAAAACCTGCAGAACAGTAGAATCTGAGAACCAGGACGGTGAACTATTGGTCAAAATGTTCAATTGTCTAAAGAAGTTTTTTTAGATTTGCAGGGAATGCTGATTGAATTCCTTATTAACAAAAATCCTAATTTAGGAAATATCTAGTTGTAATTTGAGACCTGGGTGTCCTTAAGACATTTTAAGATGCCTATGTCATAACTGCTGCAACAATCTGAACGTTTAAAAATGTCTATGTCATAGCATGTAGCTAAAAGAATTACAGCTTGGCCTTATTAATGAGTCTCCAGGTCACATTTTCACTGGTTGCACTGGTGCAACTGCTATAAAAAGGTTGCACTTCAACTTTTCCCAGCTATTTCACAAAAGCACATTTTTAAAGGTCACATTTTTATCATTTCCCTGACAGAATGACAGCTATGCACATTAAATGTTCACACACAGACTCTAGCAACTCTGTGCTGGTTATTAAAGAATGATAGGAAATAAAGAGGAAAAGCATCGCAGTATGAGTTGAAGTGATACTGTGTTGTGCTGCACTCTGGAAGTACACATAAAACCTTAAACAACCATTTATAGCATTATATAGTTTTTTTTTTTTTAAATCAACAATTACAACTCCTGCTGCTAAACTAATTGAACATATTGGCCATTACAGTCATAATAATGTTTAATAACAGTTTTCAAGAGCCTATTGTGTAGATTATTAAACATTTTATCACTGTGCCTTTTATAGAGTAAGACCACATGTATTACAATGTAATATTATTTGGTTAATTAGAGAGGCAATCTGCTCAACAAACAGATTGCCTTTAATAGGCAAATTTGCTTGTAAAACTTTCATAGTTTCCACACCAAAAGTGTATATTTGGAAATAATTTCTTGACAGTTTAATTACTTTCTCTTGTAAAAATGGTAGGTAGTATCCTATTTTAGGCAGCTGTCCTGCAGTGCACAGTAATGGGTCATACAAGTAGATACTCTGGCCATTTTCTGTTTTAATTCAAAAACCTTGGAATATTTTGATGCTTGAACTGAGGACAGTAGTACACGGACAGACTGTGGTGGCACTATTGAAGAAAACTGAGAAATAAATAGATATGCGGTTTGGTTATGTGTCACTCAATGACCGTTGAGAGTTGGGTACTTGCTCCTCAGCCATACAAACACAAGCAGCCATAAACAGATCCCACCATTAAAACCCTAAGCAGAACACGTGAACTCTTGTTGCCCACCATGTTCAACCAAAGAAAAACACATGCAGCGTTTAAGTTCAACCTGTTTAAATTGTGCAGCGTTGGTGCATGTGTGTGCATGAGATTTCTGATCAGTTCACTTTATATGAGGCAGTCTGGTTTAGTTGTAATCAAAGAGTGTGCACCGCAGCATCAGGTGCACATAAAAGATTTGTTGGAGGATTATTTAATTAAAACTGATTGTGACGAAGCTATAACAATAACGCTGAAAAAAAAAACTAAACTGTTTGCATATTAAATCTAAAACAGTCCAAAGCTTTGTGGTTAACGTCCATGACTCCATCTGCATAATGAAAGCGCTTCCTCATACACAAGAGACAACAATCATCAGGAGCGCCTGATTCTCTGATATGAAGCAAACCCACGGATGTTCACTCTCAGTGGACTGTAAAGAGTGGGTTAGTGCCGAGTGAATAATTATCAGCGTGTTCTGATCTGGTTGAGTGGAGGTTGGTATAAATTAGATGACACAGAAAGTAAAATCCTAAAATAAAAAGACACCCCCCTTCACAACTCTGTCTATTTCTATATTGCACTGGGATTCGAGGGATGGAAATTGTTTTAATCTGACGATCAAAAATCATAAGGAGCTAAAAAATCATTTTAAAAAACGTATGTGTGGTTAAGAGTGAATCAAATCATCCTCATTTAAAAATCCAAAAGGTGTGAGGACTGTTGTTAAATGTGTGTGAGTATGTAATTAAGTCATTCATGCAGGCAGAGATACATACTATTGTTGCTTCTTTCACTCCTCACATATAGGATTTAAGCACAAACGATGTGAGAAAGCGCAAACGCATCAATTTACACGTTCTCTACGGAAGAGAAATTTACAGTGAGAAAAAGAAAAAAGAAAAATGGGAGCGGACGCAGCTGAGTGTGAATCATGTCTTTTCCCCTTCAGTGAATGACTTTGACTGAGAGCGAGAATCTGCTTGTTGCTGTGTTTCACCTCTCCTCTCACTCTGTCCCATCACTCCCTCCATGCATCTTCTCCTCTCATCTTCCCATCTTTTATTTCAATGCTTTTTGTCCCCTGACAGAAACACAGAATCCAGGCCACAATGACTCCTTGCCCTTTTCTTTCTTTCTCCTCCTGCTTCTTTCTGCCCTCCCTCTATTTTTCTTGTCCTTCTCCCAGGGTAGTTATTAGCCATCCCTCTCTTGCCGGCAGCACTTAGCTAGAAGGAGGAGAGGGATAGAAATATGGAATTAAACAGAGAGATCTGCAGATGTCACCGCTGCATATTCTCCATCTGTCGCCTCCCTCCCTTCCTCCTTCTCTGTCTCCTCTCTTGCTTTTCTTTAAATCTTTTCTCCTTCCGTCTATCCATTTTGTGGTTTGCTAGTGGGATCATCTTCCGCTTACGTTGCTCTCTTTTGGTCATGGGTTCCTCTGGCTGCTGCTCCTTCTTCGGGGGCAGTCCGTACGGGTCTGCATAAAGAGAAATGAAGGGGTGGATAAGAGGTGGAATGTTCTTCTTCTAAAAAAATAAAAAATGTCATTTTCTTTCCAAAAATTCTAAACTTTTCCAAACTGAAATTTCCAAAAGTTATGGGTCTGGAGATAGAAACATTCTTATTTCTCTAATCCTTTCCATGCTGCATCCAGACTCGGTTCTCATCTATCAGAACCGACACCGGGCCCCTTCCAGCGTAGAAAACAATCTCTGCAGAGATTTAATAAACACCTCCCTCCCTTCACCTCTTCTTATAACCGAGCACATATTGACAGAGCTCCGTGTGTTTGTTCAAATGGGAAACCAGAAAGAGGCCATTGGGTTGTTTTTGGAGCGAGTGATTTTTCACAAGACCATAACGGCTTGTAATCTGTAGTCTCTAAATCAGGCCATCTGTCTAGCAAGCCCTCTGTGATGCTGATGGCATTAAAGAGCATTTACATGTCAAACACACACACACACACACACACACACACACACACGCATGTTGTGTGAAGGGCGTCTTATCAAAAGCTGATTTAGATGGTAAGGAAAATACTCTTTTTTGCTCCCTTTCTTAGCCAACAGTAAAACGGGTGTTATTCTTTCACTGCACTTTATGCAATGTTTAATGTAAAAAAGTTATTTACAGGTTATTGCAGCAACCAGAGAGACTGAAAGCTCGATAATGTTGCAGTACAAAAGCAGAGTGAATTCATCTGGCATTCAGACTTTCTTGAAGTGGTCGTACTCAACAGTTGTCAAGGGTTCCTGAAAATCTTTCACGGGTTTGGTAACTTTGAACTGCGAGGCAGCAGACGTGTCAGCTGGCATGGTGGAGCATGTTTATCAGTTCAAATGTGTGGCACTAATGTGTGAGCAGGTATGAAAGACTAAAACAGACACTTTCAGCAGCTAAGCTGATTTATAGTCTATCTTGTTTAGATACATAACAATGTGGCACCATGCTGGCCACCGGAAAACTAACTGCCAATTGAAGCCCCTTGAACTTTTCCATATTTTATCATATAAAGACAAGTTGGTCACATTGTCATGACCAACTGATATATACAGTTGCCCCTCACCTATCCTAATTATTTGTGGGGGTTTTTTAGTAGCGAAAATGTCTGAGGTAGAGGTAAGACAGTTTCCACTGTTCTTATTAATACATACTAATGTATATTTAGTGTTTGAAGTATTAAAATAGGTGGTTATATGTGTTTTTAGAGGAGCTGTTGTCTCTGATTATTTTCTTGCCCAACCTAACCTGACAGGTTTGTGTCTACAAAATACATGAAAGTTTGTATTCATAGCAAAGTGTGAAAAGTTCCAAGGGCTCTGCATACTTTTTTAAGAAATGTTGCGTTGCATTGTACGATTCCTTGCAAATCCACAAAACACTCATTGGAGAGAAATAGGCAAAAAGTCGCCAAAGTCCAAAGAAGTTAAAAAAAAGACATTAAAAAAAGCTTTGGGAATGGTTAGCCAAGTCTACTTTAAAGGTCTGGCTGCTTGGAGGTAAATTATAAAGAAACAAGGGGTGAGTTAAGGTTTCTGTGTGCGTGTTCTGTGCACAGTGGTCCAAGTATATGTACTGACATTTAGAAAAGTGTAGGCCTATTGGCCAGCGGCTCCCTTTTGACAGTAAACCAAGCAGAAGTTGGAGGCGGTGATCAATAGGAACTGCTGTGTGGTCAGCAGGGGCAAGTGGAGGATGTGGGGTGGGGTGTGTGTGTGCAGGAGAAAGTGCGTGCATGTATGTGGCAGATCCAGAGAGTGAGAGAAAAAATGAGAGCAGACAGGTCGATGTATGTGTGTCTGTGTGTGCACTCCACGCTTCGCATCGGAGATCAGCGCGAGGCGGCATGCGGCTTATTTAGACGACAAACAGCACAGACGTGACCTTTCAGCCACATGACAGATAAGATGGAGAGACAGAGGGCGAAAAAAGTGACAACAAAAAGAGGTGTGAGGAGAGGCGGACGCCATGCAAAGAGAAACGGGAGAGAGAGGGGCGGGGGAGGATCGGAGAGAGAAGAGAGCAACTCAGATGAAGAAGAAAAGGAGAGGATGAAGAAAAAGTGAGAGAAGGTTGCTTTTTCCATTGCCTATGTGAGCCAGGGGAAATAAAGTGTGTGGTATTTCTATTGAGCTGAGCTGACTGTGCTGATGTTACAGGCTGATAGAGCCATAACAGCGCCACTTGGCTCTTTGCTGAAGAGAACCTCCAATACGCTGGGTCCGATAACACAGCACAGATCAAAGAAATAGAAATAGGCAGCTTGTATTTGTGTACTGGTGAGTGTGTGTATGGGAGGTCATGTGAAGGACAGGTGCCTATTATGAACAGGAACGTGCAGGTCAGTGAAAATGCTTAAATTGGCTGTTTTTTTTTCCACCACCACCCCAACCCCCCCAACTACTTTTCCTTTCTTTATGTGCTGCTTTCTTGAAAAACCAGCATGCGAGGGATCATTACCCGCGAATATTTTCCAAACAAATTAGAGGGGTGCACTGCCACGAGTCATTAAAAATCACTGACTGCGCGCTTTAACACCAAATGGAATCATTTTGTTATCGCGCCCTCGGCTGCGGGGGGAGACGTGTGTGTTCGGACGCCTGCCTGGACACCTCTGCGTCCGTGCGCGAGTGGGTCCAGAATGAGTCAGTAGCAGTTAAAAGGCAGAGTGAGGAGGGAGTCAACTGGGCTCGTTAGAGCTGACTGATCCTACACTTCTGCGCCGTTCTCACCACTTAACAAGGCCTAATACGCTTGGCGAGGGCACGCATGCAGCACAGCGAGAAAGAAAGGCGGGTCGGCGTGCGCTGGCTGGCGTGTGCGGGTCGCCGACACCGCAAGATTAGAGGAACGGTTTAAAAAGTAGGAGAGATGAGGTGCGCTAATGAACGCTGCTCTGATCTGTGACATTGTGTGCCGATCACGCTGAGTTGTTAAGTGATTTGATTATGTGCAATGGACAAAAAATAAATAAATAAATAAATGAGTGTTTAGCCAGTTCATCAGATGTGATTCATGTGAGGAAGACTTACTCTGTCCCACTTTCAGGACCACCTTCATGCCTTTCGTAGCGCACACGCCTCCTCTAATGCTGTCCAGGCCTTGACGCGTCCCATCCGACGTGGCTGCAGCGAGACAAACAAAAAGTTGGACAATTAGCATGGAGAGAAAACACACACACACACACACACACCCCTACACACACACACACACAAACCCTTTTTTAATATAAACCCACACTTATTCTGTGGATCCACAGAAGAAGTAAACAACAGATTCCTTCTCATGGAGTCAGCACCACTGGAGTGACATTTGCACAGGAAGTGATTTAAAACTCCACCAGAAGGTCTGAAAATGCCAAACTTCAAGGCAGCAGCACTTTAATAAGTCCTCATTTACCAGACTGCTGGAATTAATTTGCACCTCACCCTGATCCCCCCCCTCCACACTGTATGGACTCACCCGCTTGCAATCAACTACAATAGCTGTCCGGGCAGCAGGAAGGAGGACGAGGTTTTTAATCTAGAGAAGCAAAGACCAGCTGATAGAGGGAGATAAAATGGGACCTCGAAGATGTAAATCACTGCTTGATTTGAGAGAAAAACCAGACTTGATTTATTTGACTTGAGACTCTGATGGATGAGTGAAAGCAGCAATAGGTAACACCCCTTTACCTCCACTGGTCATGCTTTAATTAAGAAAAATGAAGGCCAATATTTTAAATGAAAGGTGTCGTAGATTCTAAAAGACTCATTTTGTACTGAAACGTTTTTATAACAAATTAAAATAAGACTCCCCATTCTATTTGGTTGAAGCTCATAAACAGCCACACAAGGAGATAATGTGACAATCCACAGTGTTGTCAGCATAAAAACAGAAAATCATGTTTAATACTCCATGAAGAGCAGTCAGAAAACTGATCCCTGGACGACACGTTACTCCACCACTTTTCAATTTATACTGAAAAAACAATAGATATAGAGGTGTAGTTGCAAACAAAATATCAAGATAATCAAAGATGATCTATCCGGCGGCCATGTTTGAAAACTGTTTTCTTTTGGGGCTTTTTGTTTCTTTTCCTTTAAGTCTGTATTCTAGTTACAGCTTGGTCAGAAGATGGCTGGGTGCATTACAAATTATCGGTGGACTTAGAATCTTAATCACAATATTTTGTGGTAGTATTGTGATAACAATAAAATTGAAAATAAAAATAAAAAAAACTCTTGATTACTTCTTTTAATCATAACTCCAAAAACACAAACACAGCGTTTGAAAGACATTCAATAAAAACAGGACACCACTTATCTAAAGAAGTGTTATTTAAATCACTAAACTGCACATATTCTGTCATATTTTCTAATTCACTCATATTACTGGAATAAACAGTGGAATAGTAAAAATAACATTGTCCAACAGTACAGTCAGTTTTGGCATTTTTTGAACATCGTTAATTGGAATTTATCGAGACAACGATAAATCAAAATTTCTATTGTGGCAACACATTTTTTACAACAAATACCTCCTCCCTTAGTTCAAATCAGTGGATGCATGGATGAATTTTAATATTTAATGCATATTTAATGGTGTGCTGTAAGTTTGAGATGAGTCAAATAATAATTAGCAGGATTCTGGAGGAATTAACTGCACATTGAGGAGGTAGTTCAGCTTGAACTAGCAGGACAGTGGCCCTCCAGGCCTGCAGTTGAAGACCCCCGATTTAGCATTACATACAGCGGGTCCATAAAAGCTCAGTGACCTTCCGGAGGGGAAAAGAGAAGACTCAGGATGGGAGAAAAGGAAGAAATGCTATTCTGAAGGACAAGTTTTTGATGACGCAGAGAAAGTGAGAGAATGCAAAGAGAGAGAAGAGTGAGAAGTAAGAAGACGAGAGGCACTTATCCCGATAATCACACCTCTTTCAGTTGACGCAGCTCTGCTTGCTTGTGCAGCTGGTTTCAATACTTGAGAAGCATCTTCTTGCTGTGCCCGGTTTCGGTTTCAATCACCAGTCCAAATGCCGGGCAGAAACTTCTATAATTGTCTTTAGGGTCTGTGCTGACAGACAGTCTAATGCGAAGCTGCAGCGGCTCATAAACCGTACGGTAATCATACCCTTCCTCCCTACAGCGTGGGCGCACACGCCACCCTTATATCCTTGTTTTCTCTCTTAAATATAAATTAGCCTCTCTGAAGCCGAGGAGAAGGAGAGAAATGGCAAATGGAAGACGGCATTCGGGAGTGAAAGGAACGAAGGTGTGAAAAAGAGGCAGCTTTACTTCTGACACCTTTCTTCTCAAGCCTTACAGGATGCAACGTGTGAAAACGAGCGAAGGAGAGAAGCGGGCGGAGGTCAAAGCAAAACATCAATCTGGTGGAAAAGCCAAAATAAAAAAAGAAACACGGGAAATATATTAGAATAATTTGTCGTAAAAAGTTTGCACATCCTCCGACTCTTAACACTGTTTGTTGAAGCACAAAATCTGTCAAGGACCTGTGAAAATATCTCTTTGTTACAAGGACACACTGATTAATCCAAATGAAGTTCAACCGAATAAAAAGAAGCAGAGAATGAAGGCTGTTAATCAGGACTGCTGCAGAGAATCAGACATTTTTACAAGCAGCTTAACTCAAACGTCATGTTTCCGTAGCAGCAGTAAAATCTAAAGATGATATAAAACAAAATACTGAAAAACTTCATTGAGAAAAAGATGCAGACTCATTCTGTGGAGGTTTCACTATCCAGTTTTCTGCTACTCCCAACCTTTTCACTGTCTCGTTCATTCCCAAGTTATTCACCAAAAGGATCACTCGTTAATTTTTAGTGCCTCTCTTTTTAATCATTTGTTTTGTGCACAGAGACGCGAGAAAAGAGGCCCTCTGCTTTCACACACTGGTTTCTGTGGGGATGTTTATTTTCAAGCTAACCAACTTGTTTGTGCTCCAATAAAATATAATTTATCCATTTAATAGCCAAGGTGCAGCCAACAAACAATTCTGCACACTCATGACTGAGGGCAATTTTGTGTCTCTAATTGGCCTGACATCCAATGTTTGTGTGTTTTTGAGCAAGAGGAAACCCGTTCTACACATTCGGAAATGAAGCACATCCAAAGAAATAAATCTGAATTATGAAGTTTGAATGGTCGACCCAAACTGTGCTTCTAATCAGATCCACCTTGAACCAATAATAAGCTGCCAAACTCGAGGAACATTCAGTTTATTAGGAGACAGTTTAGAAAATCAAGTTGTGGCGCGGAGAAATTTTGAGAAACTATCCGTTTGATTTCGTCTGTTTTCCACAAAACAAAACGAGAAAGAGAAAAACCAACCTCAAGGTGAGCATGATGGCTCAGGCAAACCAACCAGGTCCAACTGCGCAGATTTGATAATAAACTCAGCAGCGGGAAATCGTAATAAAAAAAAGGGGTACTTAGTTGTGAGAAATGATGCCAAGAAAGGAATTTAAAAGCTAATAGTTTTGTTGTGATTTTTTTATTTTTTTATTTTGGGGAAATAAATAAAACCCCAGCCCAATTATGAGCGATTGTCTGGATGTCTGCAGGGCAAATTGTTAAACTTTGCAACCAGGAGAACATTCAGTTTATTAATAAATATTTTTAAGAACTGAAGATATGTTTGAAACTATTTGTCTGTTCTCACCCCTCGGCCTTAAAAACAAACAAAAAAAAGAACAGGCAAAAGGAGAGAATAGTCTTCATCACCAGAGATAGATGAGTCCTGACATTAAAAACAAAAATCAAACATAGAAATTAACTTAAGCAATTTCACTGTAACCACTAACATTTAAATTGCCAAACACATAATATTACAATAAATGCTCACATGCAATAGTTGTAGAAAACTTTGTTCTTCAAAAGCCACCAATGCAGAAAAAATAAAGAGTCCTTCAGGGTCACTAAGCAAGATAAAGTACATGTTATTTTTCTTTTTACTGTGGGAGGAAGGTACCGACCAACAGATCCACACTGCAGCACAGACAAAAAAAAAAAAAAGATGAATGACAGAATTAAAAAAATGGTATTAATAGCAGCTCACTGTAAAACAAACATGTTTTATTTCTTTGTAATATTCTGATGTTTACATCATGTCTGATGAAATGGATGTTTTACTTTGACTATACACTGTCTCAGTGCAAGAAAGTTAAATTTGAGGTTTTGTGAAGGAAAAACATTGTGATTGTTTTGATCTTATTTACTTTTTCAGGTAAAAGATCAAAAATAATAAAATTTCAAAGTAATAACTAAGGAAGCAAAAACTAAAACAAAACTATGAACTACTATTTACAATACAGAAGAAGGTTTTTCAGTCATGTAAGGTAAAAATGTAAAGCAGTTCATTTTGTTTATTTACTATTCATGAACATTTTACACAGAATGAAATATTTTTAAAGCAAACAGAAAGCAAAATTTAGGATTCAGATTTTTTCTTGAAAAAAGTACATTTGAAACGCTTTACTGCTCTCCATAATTGATCCTTATTTTCCACTGTTTTAAGAGACGCTCGTCTCATATACGATCAGAAATAAACTTGGAAATAACATTAAATCTAAATCTGCCAGGGATATGATTATATTGGGGTTTAAAAGTACATTTTTTATTAATAATTAGAGACAGATATTTCATTGATGCCTTTTGAAACATCTGAATGCTTCAAGAGAGAGTGGAAACTAAAACTCCACAATTGAGAATTGTAACTGAAATAACTAATTACAAATAGTAAATACTAAACAAATTACATTGTAATGGATACCAAAAACTTTCTGATACTTCACTATTTCAAAACTTTAGATTTATATGACTTTATCTCTGTAACACTACAGAAAATATGATTTAAAAAGAGAAAGATATACTTTTCCAAATATTTATCAAGAATCACGTCAACAGTATTTAGATTTACAGATGTTTAAATGAGGAAAAGAAGATAAAAAAAAAAACAATCAACAAATTTATCAATTGAAAAATTAACGACTGTTAATCATATTCTTCAATTTGAAATGGACAGCACATAAAGAGTATTTGGAAAAATATTGCTTATGCATATAATTGAATGTTATCAGCAAAAAATGTCATTTTTGGAAACAAAGTACATTTTTCCCATGTTTTCC